AAAAGGGATAAAGATAAAGGGAGTAATAGAAGGTAGTCAGGAATTAAAATTAATAAAAGAATAAGGGCAATACTAAGAGAATCATGAAAAGGGTAAAAGCAAAATGCATTAAATGTAATATAAGAAATAAATAAAATAAATGCAGTATACTATGTAAAATAATGTATAAGGAGATAGTAGGTATCTATATATTAGTAAGAATCATTAGAGGCAGCATGTTTGTGATTTGAAGAGGGTAGTAGGGCAGAGGAAGTGTGAAGATAAAGCAGAGTTTTAGGGCATTTAACTACTAATAGGAATAAGGGTTTTAGGCAAGACAATAGATAAAAAAATTATAACTAACCATAATGAGGGTGCTACAAGGTTTATGTGTTCCTAATACTTAAGTATAAATAGTTCAAGCTATTTTTGTTTATTGTTAATTGTCATATTAGACCCCCATATAATATGAATAGTGATAGTACAGGACCAGAGTAAATTGAGCCAAATATAGAGTCAAATAACACTACAATTCAAGTAAAACATAAGGAAAAAAGAGTTAGTATAATAGTAATAACTGTACATTGTTAAATAATTAAATAGAAAATATTTAAACTTAATAAAATCTCAACAGATATTTACATAAAATAATTCAATATCATACTTAAAAGAGCTATTTAAATTATAGTAATATTAATTTCAGAAATCTACTAACCTTATATTGACTCCTTGTCACTTGCTGTTTGTCCTGTTTTACTTTTATTCTTCTTTAAAGATCTTTCTACAATAACTTAAATCTCTTAATTCTTACTCTATTATACTAACCTCCTCCCTACTTTACTACCTTCTTGGAACAGTAAGTATACATTCCTGAATAACCTCCAATAGTAAAAGAATACCTAACATTTCTTATATACAATTTTACATAGTTTAATGTATTTATTTTGTTTTGTTTTTATACTAACTTTAACCAGCCTTTATTTGCACTTTTTGATGATTCTCTTTGGATTGGCCTTGGTTTTTCATTAATTTTAGTTACTGGCTACTTTCTATTATCCTCCCTGCATTTATTCTCTTTTTTTCTATTCAATTTGGTTGAGAATTGGTGGAGTTGTTGCTTCTTTAGTAGTATAGCTTAAGTTGTGTCACTTCACGGTGGAATACGTTAGTTCCTAATGTAGGAGATAAGGCTGCAGTAATTTGCATCAGCTGTGAAGTTCAAATAATAGAAATTATTTAAAGAATAAGAAAAGAGAGGAAAAAAAAAGAGATAGGGGCAGGGAAGCCAGTGCTGTGCATTGCTTTCCTGCTGGTAGGTAGGCTGTTCCTAGGAGGAGAGAGGAGGAGGATAGGAGGCTGGAATGCTTTGTCAGGAATTTTACAAAATCTGAGAAGAAAAAAAATCTCTTGGCAACCCAGCTTAATACACCCCTCTGGGCCTAGGGCATAGAATAGAGTAAAAATAAAAAAAATATTGGAATAAAATATGAAAACAGGACAGCAGGGCCAGCTGTAGCTGCTAGTCCAAGAAAAATAAATGTGAAAAATGGAACAAAGATTTCATTTTAATACAGATGGCTGAAAAGAGAATTCGTATTGTCCCCTTCGTTTTGGCTTTTTTTTTATACGGCACAAACACTACGTCTGCCTTACCGTAATGCTACGGGTACTCGTACTTTCGTTTTACCTTAACCTATTTTAGAAATTGGAGGGTGCCTACTTTGTAACTGGCTGTGTGTCCCAGGTTGAACGGGCAAGAGATTCCCCACCGAATGACTTCCGGCGGATAGGATCTGCAAGAGATTAGCCGTGACCCCGATACAGTAACGATCTCCGCGCGCAGGGATTATTGGAGATCTCCCAACCAGACATGAAAAAAGGAAGAGCTGCGGGTGTTTATCGATTTCCCTCTGACACTCGGCCTAGCGCGGTAGGACTTGACATAGAACTGGAGCCCTAAAAGCTTGGATAAACCTTTCACACACACCAAAAAAAGAAAGCAGGCACCGTAGGACAGCAGGCCTAGAAACCCACGCTACCGTGCCAGCAGCTTTTCTGGTACGGGTATCGATAATAAGCGCCCTAACCGAACATTCAAACCCCAAAGTTCAGCAGGAAAGGGGCAATCTGGTATTCAACCCTGAAATGAATATGCCCACTCGGATGCGTAGAGAAAATTTGTCATATGGTTCCGGCCACCTATACACAACACCTCGATTGATGCAACGGGGGACGCCCGGGCATGCACTACCCTACCAATATAGCCCTAAAAATATTCAACCTGAACTTGTATTGGAGTTATTTTTATATTATTGTTTTTTTTATTAACATGTACAAGTGCAATACAATCTGGCAGCTTTGTATTAAAAACAGAACAAGAGAAAGAAATTTAATTATTGACCTCAAACATTAGGCTGAATGAGATCTTCACCCAGATTTGGACTTCTAAGAACCTGCGTTCATGGAGAGGGCTTACTCTCCATCGCTGACTACACAGTATCAAAGGATTGGTTAGGGCTATATTGGTAGGGTAGTGCATGCCCGGGCGTCCCCCGTTGCGTCAATCGAGGTGTTGTGTATAGGTGGCCGGAACCATACATTCAATTAATCCCTCTGTTTCGGTATTTGGTACCTACTCCTTGTAAAAATTGTCTGCGTGTTAGAACATCTCCTGGTTAACACCCCACCGCACTGTGTATGATGCCAGAGCAAGATGCGAAAATAAGAAAAAGTAACCACGACCCTCCGTGGATTTGTAGTAAATGGTGGCTAAAGGAACTATTGGGGTAAAGGTGAGCTGGGTAAGCATTTCCTTTTGGCTGGGAGGGTGTCCAGCCCTGCTGTGTTACCTTCGCTCGATTATCCATTGTGCAGACTAGGCTCCTGGATTGGAAACCTACCGTACCACTGATACCGCACAGTAAGATTTCTTGCACCACACTACCTCTGGCAGGTCTGGAACCCCCGGATGGAGAGAAAAAAGCTCCTCAGAAGGGTTCCCGTGTTTCACCTAGTCAGCTATCACAATTGGTGAGTCAGAAAATAAGCAAAGAAAAATCGAAAGAGCGTAGGACGAGAGCCACAATCTAGATCATCCCGGGAGTTTAGAAGATGTAAACCACCACCACCCATCATCCGCTCAAGACAACTATTACTTGTATCCAACCCTTATTCACCTTAATGTTGTATGAACCGGGGAAATGGGTATAACAATCTCCAGTTTATTCTTCAAGAAGGTGTACTATCGGGCACTGATAAGCTAAAGAAAAGCACCAAAAAATGATGCAGTGGAAGTGCGATCACAATAAGCCGGAATGGCGGTGGGGCATGGGAGGGTGGTGAACCTGGCGATCGGTGGAGATCCGGTTGCTAAGGATAGACGGGGAAGGTATTTCTAGACAGCTAGAAATTCCGGAAGCCAACAGAAGCTCCACGAGCTCCAAGGTAATCCTCCAACAAACTAGAACTATCCAGATATAATATCTCACAATTCTCTATGATGCTTCAACCCGACTGGGACATGCGTAATGACATCGGGCGCGAAAGAATCAAAGCAGACTTTATACCACCCCATAGCAACAAGTATCTGCAAAACCAAGAACCTATACTCCTTGCCCGATCAATACCGGATGCGAAAGCAACAAGGCTGCCGCCCTATGCATGCTCACCACACATCGGAAAGCCACATCCCTAGAAGCACATATCTCCTAATTACATGGCCGATAAGCAATCCAACAAGCATCCGCGCTAAGAGTACTGTTGTCACATCATTGCTCTATTATAGGAGACATTTCCATAACTTGTTTATTTACAAGCTCAAGAGCTATGTAGCCGGGACCGCAGATACCCACCCGGTCCTTTTACTCGAAAGGTCTCATTTTTGAGAGACAACTCACTCCAATAACTCTGAAGGATCCGGGAATCTTATTCATGATCGCGGACGGCATGAGCACATGCCCCCCCCCCCCCCCGAATTGGGACATTGGGAGTATGGGCACCCAAATCAGTTGTTCTCTCCGAACCCGACCATTGACCTGTGATTGTTCCCCAAGTGTGCCGTCTTAGCGCTTTCCTAGCATGGTCTCTCATGAGACCTTTCAGCATGCTGGATCCCATTAAGTGCTCTCCGCAATTCCTTTGAACCGCTTGGCGGCTAAGTCTATGGTGGGCCGATAATCTGATCGCAGATCAAAATAACTTTGCAGTAGTTTATTTAGATCATATACTGGTAGATCACCTCTCTGAGCACCCAACTTTCTTGCTTCAGCCACTGCTCCTCACGACGCCCTACTCTTTTTGTGGTCTTTTCGGTCTAAGTGACAGCCAATTGATGGCTGCGGGAGTATTGCTTCTCATCAACTGAAACATATACAGTCCTGCACCCCAAAGCGCGCCATGAAACGCCAAGTGTATACCCGGAATGCCGCGACATATTGCACCACCCTGCTCAAATGCCGCCCAGACTTCAGAATCCGCCCAAGAGTGGGTGCCATACACTGTTTCTAGTAGGAATTGGAAGCTTAGGCTCGCGCGCTAAGTCAAGCGGGGTAAACATAGAGGTTGTCAATTATTGAATCTAGAGCTACTAATAGAAAACCCAAAGGAATTATGTCCATTATGCATCTAATGATGCCCACTAGATGAAGGGAAGTTATAACAAGCATAGCGTGCACTTTATAGGGGATATATTTCATGATAGCAATTGTGAAACTCATACAGGTCCCAGATTTTCAATAAGAATTTTAATTACTTCAAAGCTTCTTTAGATATCCCAAGTCGAAATTTCTGATACACTCTCCACTTTACCCACCGGAGTGAGTAAGGAAAATACTCCGGCAACTTGTCCTCGCAGGAAGACGACATCCCCCACCTCTTCAGAGATCTATCTGGGAGCAAACTGAACGAACGATACTGCCCATATCTTGGTACGTGCCCGGTTGCCATGTCCTCTTTCCTAAGTACTAGTAAGTGCCTATTAAGCTAACCAAACCAGGTCACAATCAATACCGTACCGCCTCACCATGGACCTCTTTACACAAACCTCAAACAACCCTTATATCACGAGCATCTCAAAGAGTTTCACTATACCTTCGGGCTCAGGAGAGTCCTCCGGAGTTGCCCTGAAGACCAACGTTGCCAATCTCATCATCTCGCTTTATGTCCTGATGGTTGTATTCATTTTTCAGGTCGTATGGGACCTCGGTGTATCGGTCATCGTGGCATTCTGGACAGGAGACGAGAACTCAAGTCGATACCTTCCTTTAGTAGTCATCTGGAATTCCAGCGGGCCAGATAATGCCGCACGGCTGATGTGGGACTACTACAGGTCAATTAAGACTAAGAGGAAGAAGAGTATGAATCAGGACCCGGAACGCCAGAACCCTACAGCACAACTCAAGAGATATCTACCATCCAATCCGGAGGTGGTCTCAAGAGAGAACCGAGAGTCCAGGGCGAATAATATGGACCATGTTGCCCAAATACAGGAAAGCAGTGGGGAACAGTCATCCAATGAAGATTGGGTGGAATCACCCAAGAAAAGCAGGAAGACTGGTGGCAATAATTTATGGTGGCTCACACTGTTTGTCTGCCTTACTTACGCCATGTGGATCGGACATCTCGCCGCCGGTCTTTTCATCGCCCGGAAGCTCTGGAAAGGATCTTATGCACTTGCTAATCCCGACTACATCTTCTATCCCGATCTGGACTCTCTCGGTAAGGACGGCGGCATTGGTGGTCGGCTTGAAAAGGTGTTTTCTCTGAAAGCTCCTTCGGGACTCCTTGCTCTCGAATATATTGACGACCCTGGTCCAGAAGTCGAGGAGCGAGTCATTACAAAGGTGTTGGAACCCCCGGAGGGTCAAACACCTAACCTTTGGGCGGGCCTGAGCTACACTTATAACATCACTGGGGTGGACATGGGATTGCAAAGTGATCCCAGGCTGACACTCGTGGTTAATGGTTCATGTCATACGGATTATACATGGCTAATGAACTCTACCGGCGGGGAGGATACCTATAGGGTTTGGGGTGGAAAAGATACCTTCCAAATCAAACGCAGTGGAGATTTGAGTCTCCCTCCACGGGTAACCTTCTTCATCAATGACAAACAACTGCTTGAGCGATCTTCCAACATGTCTTATGCTATGATTATCAACACCGCCGGTTATTATAGTCGCACTCAAAGCCAAGACCCATGGTACTCTACCGAGCAGTCTCGAACCAATGGGACTCACCCATACCAAGTCCTCTCCAAGCGCCCTGTCCTCAGCTGTTGGGAAGCGAAAAGATGGCATCTCAACGGCAAAGACGTGGAACATACACAACTAAAGAAGTTGCCCGGCCTCAACCTCCACCAATTCTGGATCGAGAAAGTCTTCCCATACGAGTTTTTGGTCCCGCGCGTGGCCAGCCTGGGCAGTGTGACAGGGACACACACTTTTAAATCCACGTCGTTAGGCGCAACCCTTTATAATAGCGTGGATCCTTCCTACATTCTTGATGCGGGTTCGCACAGTGTTCTGAGTGACATTGAGCATTGGGTGAAGGCTAGTTGGATAAGTGATCAGGGTGTGCTACGAGACACCACCACATATCATTCCGGAGGTGGGGTAAACAGTGCTGAAGGACCTGATGGCACCGTAGACCCCTCGATAGCGGGATTTGTGATTGAAAACTGGGATGTCGACACCTTATCCGTTCGCGTCCTCATTTCTGTCCCAATCGTTCTCATTTTCCTTTACCTCCTCCAATGGGTGTTGGCCAGACTGATGGAATATAAAGACATGGTGAACCTGCCGGCAATATATGAACTCGTTGATGTATCATCAAAAGGGGGACCTGATTATCGCGACAATGATGTGACCTCGGTGCGAAGCACACAGCCCATCAAGGGTTAAGGCTCTTATCATATAGGAAGGGGGAAGGTAGAAAGCTTGTTGCTCTCACTTTTTGTGCCGGTAGGCATAGGCTGCGGGTTTTTTTTTCTTCATACTTTGCCAACTAGGTCAGGCACCTCGTATTTATCTTATCATAGTTCTCATTTTAGCTAGGTTGGCATAGGGTAGTTGGTTTTGCGCAGTTCACTCTTCTTGGCGATCGGAGTTGGGTATAGGGCATTGCATCTATTGGTCTGGACTGATATGGAGTTTAGGGTCAAGGGGAATCCCGGGGGTCATGGTGTTTTCAGGCCAGTCACTTTAGAGTTCATTGTGTTTCATTTGGTCTCCGAAGCTGTTAGTTATACGAAGATAGATCTCTCCCGGCCTATCCTTGGCTAACATCTCCACTGATCGTCTAACCCACCATCCTTCCATACCCAGCTGCCCTTAGGATTTACAGTGATCGCACCCCCCCCCCATATTTTCGTACATGCATCAGGTTTTATCATCTCATGGGTTGCCTCTACATCACATTTTCGGGGCTGGACAAATGAGGAGAGAATTGGAACACATATACATCGTTAGCCCGTAATGGAATGTGAATCGGTTAATTACCAACCACTACGCTAGAAACGCAGTTAGGTCGATGGAGGACGGGCTAAAATGCTTTCGGAACCAGAACTCTACTTTTATGGCTTTCTCGAGTCCGTATTCATTTCCTTTGCCTATCCCTTTCATTGCATCTATAATCTATAACAGATTAAGCTCATACATTAAGTCAGGTTCCTATTCCTCATGTCATATCACTCGATCTTTCCTTCCCAGGCCCGAGTTTCGTACGTACTCGTACATCCTCTTAAGGCGATTAAGTGCGGGGTGTAGCGCTCCACCAATATATTTTCTCCTTCCTTTTTGCTCCTCAATTAGCACACCCCACCCGGGATGTTACAAGAGCGCGCCTAGGCCTTTTCCGTTGTTATTGAGGGTTTGATCGTGCTCGGAGTCCCAATTGGGAGCATGAACGGGTAAAACTGTGCGCACCAATATCCTAATAAATCGGCAAGGCCCCGCAAGCCGACGGATCGGCGCGGCCATTATAGGCTCCAATAATTTCGTGTGTCCGAAAACAAATAATTTCCAGCCATGTTCTTCAATAATCAATCGCATATCCGAAACTATGTATTGGGGGCTTCCCGGTGAATCAGCCATCCCCAAGCTCTGTAGCTGTTGTCTTGTTAGAGTTCTACCGTATCTAGACTAGCTGGTACCGTAATCTATGGACAAATATACCCCCCCGCCGTTCACGGTCTAAATACATCTAGCGCTATCCCTGTACCCCTCACCGGCCATCACTTTCTAGGCCGGTCATGAGTATCTCCAAAATTGCCACTTGGGCTCATCCTGCCCCCGGCGCGTTGCCGAGTCCATCTAATATCGAATATGGCCTTGGAAAGGTGTCGAGAGTAAACAGTGCATCTGGCAGATTAAACGTATTTTGTGGACATTTTACGCTCCTTACAAACCATCACAAAACTCATTCCAGGCTCTCCAAGCCTACCGGATACTAACCTTAATAGCAAACGAGTGTGAATAAGGCTATGTTTAAAATTCGGGAATGAGCAACTTATGGTAAGATTATAATATGATGCTCGATATATTCCATCTCTATGGAACCTAGGGAAAGCACTAATGGATAAGACCGTGAGAGTGCGCAAAGGGTGGGTGGGCTAAACCAAACTGAGCGCGAAGGGATGATAAACTAGTAGGCGACTAATAGAGACGTTATCCAGGGCTAGGCCGGGGGATATATATCTCCGTACAAAGTACAGCTCCAGAAACCAAAATTAAGCTCAACGAACTCGGAAAGATGGAGACTAACCAGAAAAATCATCATCCCTCGTGGCCCTAAGCCGCCTATCGTGGTGCCCGGTGCGAACCGACACGGCGCTGTACTGTAACTCACCATGAACTCACCAGCTACTGCTATAGGGGCTAGTGCAGGAAACACTTTAAATTCCAATGGAGACGTTAAAGGGGGGTTACCGGTAACCTGCAGGTGAGGTAAGGATACCGCCATCTAGGTTCCCAAGCCCTCGGATAAACCCCAGCACTGTGGATGAGAATATTGTGGGCGCAGATTGACTCTTCCCCAGTAGCACCTTCCTGCTCATGCTGCTCCTCATCTTCTACCAAGCGCTCATATCTATGTATTTTGTCCGATCGCCCCCCTGTCGCTATAAGCGGTTACCCGAAACCAACAGGGCGTAATAGAGCTTAATTCATCACCAGCGTGCCGTATACCATTCTGGGTACAGTACTATACGAGCACTCCACAGATGCCCCTTATGGCATGGGTTTCGTAGGATACGGCAGTGTAGGATAGCAAATTATCCGGTCACTGGTCAGAAGACCAACACCTCCACGATATCAGCAGCCCCACAATTTGGGGGGGGTGCACATAATCAGGAGTACCACAGCATACACCAGTAGTACGCTATACCAAACGGCCTGTATAAGTCCGTTGTCTCGAGCAATTCAGCACGCACAATCACCGGGTCTTGCCAAAATGGGATGATAAAGTGTCATTTTTTTCTAAAGGTGACCGAGACCAGTTCAATGGCCACTCTTAGCCCGAAGCTCCTGCGTGTTCCCGACCGTAGGGTTTAGGAGAAAGAGTTTAGTCTTCACCCCGTCCCCGGACGATTGCTTCACGGCTTCCGCGCGGGTTCGGGGGTGGCGGATACTGCCAACTTTTCAACGTCGGATCGGCGGAGACTATCGCAATATCGAAAACGAACGAACGAAAGAACGGCGGTACGGCGGCGGAACGAAACTAAACGAGTGATGGCCTGTGAAAGGAAACGAAACGCCAAGATCACTCATGTGATACGATCGCACAATTCACGGGGGGGGGGAGAAAACTCTTCAACTCGCCAACCTCTCTGATTATCGCGCGCTCTCTCTAACTAACTAACGGTAATGACAGGAGTATATGTTAACGGTATAAAAGACAAAGTCCTAACCCCCCATCCTTCTAGGTACATCTTCCACACACTAACTTTAACAAACAAGAAAAGCTAATAAAGAAAAGACAAACTTCGGCTACTTAGCCTCCGGCCCTCCTTATGGCCTTTCGCTTTCCTTCGTGCCTTCCTTCCAACTGATGTGCTTCCCCACGACTCCCGCACACTCCCGCGACCGAAGTGCTTTCCCGAAAGGCTAAACTGCGCGGGCGGGAACCAATGTGCGCCCGGAGCCATAGCTCGCCCGAAACCAAAGCGCGCTCCCGAACAAACAAGCAAACCATCGTGAGAGCGTGCCGAGCAGCACCTCACGATTTCCAACACCAATCGGCATGCTCTTCACGAAATAGGGTTTTGCTTTCGGGAGGATCACGGTGGTGTGGGGGAGTTTGGTATCGTAGGAGACACCTGTTTCACGGAGACTTCTATCGGCTGTAGCTGGCTTTGACCTGTTGGTATAGGCTCAGTGTCCCTTACGAGCCGAGCCGACTCGAGTTCATCTAAACCTTAGCTCGTTAGTAAAACCTCCTGTTCTCCCACTGATACCGGGGAGGATGTAAGCCTGAAATGTTTAGTTGCGCTTTTGACCTAGGATAGTGCGGTAGGTACACTTGGGTGCATACGTTCTTGCGCCTACTGTACGTATGGTGCTGTCCCTCTTCACGCGAATGTGAGGCTACCCAAGCTTTGTGTGTGGTTAGATTGAGTTACTATTACTAGTGCGAAGACTGATCAATCGGGTTTGGACTGCGGATGTATTGAGCCCTGTATTGACTGGGGGTCAGGTGACAGACCGTACTGAACTAGTGTATTTTCCAACAATGGTACGTGGTTGTTCGGTAACCGAAATTTCGAGGGGTCTGTAGCTAGTAGGCAGGGAGTACTAGGTGTTCGCGGTAAGTATATCGAACGCTACTACTAGTCTTAGTAGTGCGGCGGGCCTGTTCAGGTACCGAGCGGGGTTAGATCCTCTCATGAACGGCGGCTCTGGCAGCAGCTTGAGCACTAGAATAGCGTAGAGGAAAACAAGCTTGCATTCCGAGAACGGCAGGGCATATCTCGAAGACTGAAGTGGAGGTGGAAGGGGTGGGATGATTTTAGTGATTGAAGGGGGGGGGTTGTGGAGACTGGGTTAAACCAATTTACTACGGGTTAGGGTCATATTTGGACTAATGGAGGCTCATGCGCCACATTCAGTTGTTTTGTTGATGAGGGCTGAGGTGGGGTTACTAATCCGAACACCAGAAAGATTGATAAAATTTGGCTGCATCCCTACCTTGCTTCGCATTAAACCTTTGATGGAGGCTCTCCAGATCCCCAACCTTACTCCAAGTTGCAAGTACGGGAATTTACCTTAGGGACAGGGGGGAGGTGGCCGTGGGCACAGAAAACACGAGGAGAATTGGTGTTGCTAGCAAAAGGGGGTAGTCAAATCGCCTCTCAGTGGCTCAACAAACCTATCAACCACTCACAGAGCAGGGCTTCGCTCCAGCCGTTAACTATCCCCTAAACCGCTGAGACATTCAGCCCCGTTTAAAATGTTGAACACTAGCCTATTTCGGTAACCGTGATAGGAAAACCTTCGTGGTCCTGACGAAGTGTAGTGCTCGGAATACCGCAGAATCCGTATAGTTCAGCATGGTTGTGACAAAGATGACTGAGTCTGCGTAGATTAACTCCCGATTACTCAAAAATGCTGGTG